TAAAGTCAATCAAAAGTAATTAGTTGGTTAGTGTTTATATGTCCGAGGGAACATGAGTTATTAGTTTGAAATATGTTTACTCCTCTGTTCGCTTATGAAAGCTACTTATTTCTCTAAATGGTCTAGTTCTGTAAACATTAGTCTTGAAATACAACATGTATGAAATTGTTAAACGATTTTTCTTCATTTAAACTATTTGTAGTACACTTTGGAGTGTAATTCTTCCGTTCACGATACAAAGCCTTGTATATCGAGTCACGGGTTGAGACCGTTATCCACACAGTAGACTTGTGGTTACTTTCACCCTGGGCTAGGCGCGCAGGCGCTCCCAGTCTCAGCTTTCTATCATGGTGTCCTGGCACCTGTGATTGCGTGATTGCGTCACACTTGCTCAGGTGAATCTGAGCAAACAGACATGCGCAATCGGCTACTTGGTCGGAGGACATGCTTGGTTGATAGACCGATTCGTAAATTAAGACAAAAATGTTGTTCGGTTTCCACTATAAACTGTTGGTCCCTTTATTGGCTGTATGGGCTATTAATTAACATCTGTGTCTAAGGAATATGTCGGACTTAGTAAGTAAAAATGCTACAAGATCACACTCATCCTACACTCATCTCCATTCATACTTGGCAATTCGTATGTTTGCTATTTCAATTATAAGTACTGTATTGAAGTTTTTACACGCTGGAGTAGTTGATTTACGGAAGCTGGAACCGTAGTTTTACGAAGTTCGTTTTAAAGTAGAGGTTTTTATTAATCAATTTTAGAGCTTAGTTAACATTACACCCATAGCTTAGTTACATTAGTTTAGAGATAGTCTATTGCCGTGTGTTGCTTTTGGAAAACGTATATTCTAAACTACAGGTGGCATTTTTATTTGGAGTCTGAAGAAAGGGGTTTGAAAGAACAAATTTTAAAGACTCAGTAAGACTCTGGTGTGTAGTAATACATCTTCGGCAACAAACGTGTTTTCATTTTAATTATATCGGTGATTCGTAGCAATCAAAGTGTAAACATTTTTCGTAATTGCGCTTGACAAGCTTAACATTGATCAAAATCCATTAAATTTTTAAACTGTTTTATTTAAAAGAACTTAGTTCTATATTAAAAGCTTAAATAAACACCTACAATAGAAATGCTATCTAGTGACCACTCACTTATTTCCACCCCTGATCATTCAATGTTTATAGCAATCAGATTAAGAGAAGCTTTGGTGAACTAAATGACGAACGCTATTGTGCGTCAATTAATCCGGCGAAAGCTGTTGAGTTGAATGATGAACTGTTTCAAATGAAGATGATTTCAATCATTAAAATGTTTCTACAGCTTTTCGGTATCGATAAAATAATGTGATCGATTATTACAGACTAAGCAGACTTCGTACGTTCCCTTATATAGTAGATCTCACATTTAATATCTACCTAGTATATGTTTAATTGTTAGTTGAATGACGAATGCGTGTTCCCAATCCCACTGAACTTGTTTGTCTGCATGTTCATCTAACAGTTAATAACATTTAAGCTAAACATGTAAGCTGAGTAGGTAAGTGGTTTTTGGATTTGCCTATTTATCATGTAACTCAGCTGTTTGACCATTGTTACGAGTCATATACCGATAGCCGATGGCTTGATACTGGGCTCAGCTGCCCTTGCAGGCATTATGACAAATTATTTCTTCGAAGAACCAGCTGTTTGGTGAAATATGACATAATTTAAACGACCCCCCTCCCCCCCCCCTTAAAATACGATAATATGTGGCTACCGTTGAATAATAATCATACATAGGGAAAACTTATTATTTTAATTAAACTTATTGTTCTGATTGATTGGTTAAATTAATTGAATTTTAAATACAGACTAAGTATTTTATAACTTCAGTATGATTAAATTTAATGCGATGTTTTGTCAACTGTGCGGCAATTTAGAAAAGTAATATGGAAACATCATTTTGTTAAATTATCATTCTTAAAAATACAATTGTAATAACAATATTCGCATTATAAGAAAATAAAACAATTCTTTGCTTCAAATGAGTTGAAAGGAAATTACGAAGCGTATTTTAAATCGAAAATCACAGACATCCTCTTTTCCCGTCACCATGTACCGTTAAGAGCAGGATTCATTTTTTATACACGTTTATCGTGCCTAAATAGCAGAGGTTTTGCTATTCATTATTCGCGTAAAATACAACAATACTTTTTTGGGTTGAACCTTTTGGCAACTTCTGTAAAACGTACTGTTCTATGCATACAACGTACACATTCGATTATCAATACAACCGTTCCAAAATAAAAAATCCACGTTTACTAATTACTATATATTGTTGCATATACAAATACTTGAATGATAAAATGAGGCGACAAAAAGGCGGATACGATCAGTAACCGCGGACGACACGCCGTGTAACGGTAAAAGTCCGTGACAGCATCCCGTCACACGATCGGCAACTTCCACCAATTAGTGAATAGCGGTGATTGGATCACTGTACAAACATGATTAAACACAAAACTGTGTTTCATCATTGACTATTGGATACAGTCAGAGGTTTCAACAATGAAAAAAATCAAACAATGTGTACAAAATATTCACTGTATAGATCGTGTCAATCAGGATGGACGAAGAAATGTTCTTATCAGCACTGAGAATCACACTACTAAACGCAATTGGCATTCATGATTAATTATAATTTAGTAATTAATTTTTGAGACGACTAAAAGAAATAACAAAATAAACGGTGATAGCGTTATGGTTCTTGTGTTATCTGTGCATTCAGCTCGCCATTCTAATCCGCACCATAATACACACTCAATACATTTTGTTGTACCTTTTTGTTATACTGACCACATTACATAGTCCAGGTTAGGACACAAAAAAGTCTCTGTGGATAGACTGAGTTACTAGGAGGTCACGTATTGTGGATATTTATAGGCATGCACTGTGGATGTAATACTCAATGGTGTGGATTAACGTCTGCACTAGTAAGTACTACTACTGTCCGCAGTACTTTGCTGATAATTAGTCCAATTCGTTAATACCATGGCAAAAATGTGGTTCGGATTCCACTATAAATTGTAGGTCCCTTAGTTTCCATTCCACCGTAAAGGCTATTAATCAACAGCTGTGTCTAAGGAATATGCCGGCCTTAGTCACTAAGACTAGATCGTTCCACTCATCCTACTCTCATATCCATCCATACGTGGCTTAAAATACCTTTTTTATGGTAGCCATTTCAATAAAAAGTATTAAAGTAATAATCAAACATTTTGAATAAAAGTGTATATTTTAGTGCGGATAACCTAATCTAACTTGATGTTGGGAAATGTCCTGGAGAGCATGCTTGTCTAGTTAGAGCGTGGGACTTCGGTACCTGAGGTCCCGGGTTCAAATCCCATCAAATCACAAATGGATTTTATCCAAGTGATAATTCCGCAACTACTAGTTCTACCCTGAAATAATGTAAAAACGGGCTCGTGCCTAGCGTCATAGGACATAAAAACTGACTTGATATGGTGGATATAAAAGATGAAACCTAGTGTGATTGCCGTTTGTTTTAGCAGAATAGTCAATGATAGTACCCATTAAACGTAGATTGGTGAGAAATTAAACATACTACTCCTAGAGTAAAACCTACCAATCGGCTAGAAGTTTTAATAAATCGCTAGTTATTAGCGATTTTAAAAGTATGTGAAAAGAATAATATATTTCCAGACTTATGACCGTGCTGACAAATTAGATTAAAGCTTAACGGTAGTGGAAGCAATCTCACGAAGACAGTTGAACTTTTACCTTTCCCTAGAAATAATCCTCGACCACTAGAGGACCAAAGGAATTCGTTCAATCGGAAACCCTTTGTAGAGTAGTACTTTATGTAACGTTCCAGAGTGCTAGTCAAAGGAGTGTTTACAACCATATTCTGTAGAATAGAATCATACGATTCATACCCAAACTAGTTCTCTATGTTTATATGATTATTGCATAACTCGTTGAGTTATATAACAATTTACAATATCTTTTCATTTAGATACCGCTTCTCCATACAAACAACACGCTGGAAATGTTACGCATAATTTTAGTATGCAAAGTAATCTTTGCTCAAAAACACTGGTAAGTTATACGATTAGCTACATGCATTATCACATTATACAAACTATATTTTCGTAAAAGATTAAAAAGTACTATTACGGACAATGTAAAGTGTCTTAAAAATAAAGGGGTTCGTTTTTCAATGTGTACCAAACCTGGTGAACTATCTTCATAACCATCTAACCCTAACTGTATAAATCCAACCCCTAATCAATACTCGAAAACGTAAACCTAAAGAAAGTAATAGTGGATAAAAAATAGTGTGATTTCTTATAATTCAGCTGGGAATCTATATTTTTTTATCAACATTGAATTTTTTTAAACATGTAATATAATACCGGTGCTTAAATATCTCAATTTTCATTTGAGAAATGTTCCATGGAACATGTGACACAGATAAATTAATCCACCTCAAATCTCAGCATAAGTATTTTAAAAATTCATAATTCTATTCATAAAGTAATTGAACTAGTATTTAACAAAATATTAATTTTGGAAAATGTCTTAGAAAACCCCATACGTACAAACGCATTATTTAAAAAAATAAATGTTCAGGAGTCTAAATTTGTAATAGAATACAGATTTATTATGTTTGTGTAATACAACTTTTATCTTTTAAAATTTATTTCAACACAAAATGCTGTTGCTTTTCGATCGTTGGAAATGAGAAAGATTTCAACGCGTGGTCTGACGACATGCGAAGCTTCTGACTTAACGAAACACACAGTAAAAACGTCAAAATATGTAATTCAACACTAGTTGTACCTTTATACTATGTATTTGACCAATATTCATGTTACAAAACATTTGTGACTATAACATATGTATGATGTAACATGCAAAGAAATGTCAACACACAAATCGAAACATTAAAAAAACGGAAAAATCAAAAACACATTAAAAATAAAACTTACCGTCTCCATTGCTTCGGTCATATCAACGCACGATGCCTTCAATTCACATAAATAAATAAACAACACAAACAACGTATAGCACGTCCTGCTCTGGCCCGCGCTGAGAACTGAATGACGTCTTCGTCCTACAAACTCCGCCTCAGTGGTGCCAACCTAGCCGCTGGAAAACTGTCGGGCGTTGTCTATGATAGGCGTGAACTAACAGTAAACAATTTAATTTACTACCTTACTCAACGGATAACACCTTGCTACTTTCTCTAGTGTTTGCGAAAATGTATTTTTTCACAGGGAAAATATGAATATTAAAAAAAATATGTGGTCGGTCTTGGTTTCCTGTTTAGGTAATGTTGTCATACCTGCTTTGGTGCGAACAGAATCCAAATATTTACTGAAACATCTGAAATTTTTTTAATTCAGCACCATTTTTTTCAATACAGACTAATTCTATTGGCTGCCATGGCGGACGCATCGATGTATAAAACTGCGGACGTCATAGTCAAAGCTGACAAAGTTAATCAAGCTGTCTGCTGCCAATTCTGAAAGCGTTCCTAAATCCTAATCCAGTTACTTTCATAATTATTGGGAAGAGGCTGCACACAAAGAAAACCCAGTATTAGAAACTGTTCTAACCTAACCTAACTGACCTTAGGATGATTAAATTAATCCTAGAACTTACCAACTTTGCTGTAACATTTAAAAATTCCGTTTGATAGCAAAAACGTTAAAACTTTAAAACTGAATATCCTCCTCGTTTTCTTTATTTGAAACTAGCTGTAACCCGCGGGCTTTGCCCCGTTTAACTTCTTAATTTTCAAGATTATCTCGTTCGCATGGCTCAATCACGTCCTGGTTGAAGTTTGGAAGTCGCTACGCTCACTCACCTTTAGGTTGGAGCTCGTTCGCTGCGCTCACTTGCCTTCAGGTTAGCTCGTTCGCTACGCTAACTCGCCTCCAGGTTGAAGTTCGTTCGCTACGCTCACTCACCTTTTGGTTGCAAATTAGCTGTTGTCATAAATGTAAAAGAAATAATAGTGCTGCACCCTGTTGGTAATCCTTGTAACTTTAATGCTATTGAACATCATAGAACAGAACCAACTTGTTTAATTGAAACAGCTGTTAAGATTCGATAATTCCATTTCTCATAAGGTTAACATGGGAAACTCCAGAGCCACTGGGGCGGAGCCCGAAAGGATTTTTGAAATAAGAATATGCCTATATGTTAATCGGGAATGTGAGCTATCATCATGCCAAATTTCAGCCCAATCCGACCAGTATTTTTCGAGTTTACTTTTCCCATACACACATACACACATACAGCAACCACCTCTTTTTTTTATAATAGTACTAGCTGACCCGGCGAACTTCGTATCGCCTAAGTTATAGGTTTCCCCTAAGACAGACCGATGGAAAGAAAGTACCGTTACGTTTAATTTTCAAGATGATCTCGTTCGCATCGCTCAATCACGTCCTGGTTGAAGTTCGTTCGCTACGCTCACTCACCTTTGGGTTGGAGCTCGTTCGCTACGCTCACTCACCTTTAGGTTGGAGCTCGTTCGCTACGCTCACTCACCTTACCTTTAGGTTGGAGCTCGTTCGCTGCGCTCACTTGCCTTCAGGTTAGCTCGTTCGCTACGCTCACTCGCCTCCAGGTTGAAGTTCGTTCGCTACGCTCACTCACCTTTTGGTTGCAAATTAGCTGTTGTCATAAATGTAAAAGAAATAATAGTGCTGCACCCTGTTGGTAATCCTTGTAACTTTAATGCTATTGAACATCATAGAACAGAACCAACTTGTTTAATGAAACAGCTGTTAAGATTCATTAATTCCATTTCTCATAAGGTTAATATGGGAAACTCCAGAGCCACTGGGGCGGAGCCCTTTTAAGAATTTCGAAACGGGAAATAGTTTACGTCCGATTCGCATACCTACAGAATTTACACACCAAATTTCATAACGATCGGTGAAGTCGTTCCGGAGGAGTTTGCAGACAAACACTGTGACACGAGAATTTTATATATTAGATAGATTAATTCTTTTAACAATTGAAAATCGTAATATTTTAAAGGAACCTCCATCTTCACCATTTAATGTGAGTTATTCAAACAATTTGGCTTCCAGAAGTAACTGTTCCCTTGTAATCCTATACTCTAATACGAGCAATGTTTGCTTGTATGTATGTATGTATGTATGTATGTATGTATGCTTGCTTGCACAAAGATCTCGAAAACGGTTCCGACGATTTTCTTCAAATGTTGTAAATAGTTTAATTCTGGCCTAAAAACGAGTTTACTGCAGTTAGAACTGAAAACAAAAATCTAATTACGTAGAAAAATGAAACTGAAAATCACATTTTTTTAACATTAGTCTTATGGGTTGCTAGGTAACCTTGTTGGCTGAATTAAATAACAAGGAAAAAGTAAACAAAAGACTTGAAGTTGTAGCATGTGTTCATAATAAGCCAACTACCCACAGTATACTAGCAAATTACAAATACAGTACAAAAGGAAAAACATCATTTAGCAAAGATTATACTGAAGATTACTCGATACATTGTAGTCAAGGGTAGCAGTGAGAAGTCTGGGATCTGTTTATGACGATTAGATAAGGGTATGGGCAATCCTAAAATGCTATGGAAAGGGAGGGAATCAGGTCCGTGACGTAGGAAGTGGTGAAGGAAGTAGTCAAGGCGATTAGTCCGGAGAGGGGGAACTGTACATGACGATTAGATAAGGGTATGGGCAATCCTAAAATGCTATGGGAAGGGAGGGAAACAGGTCCGTGACGAAGGAAGGTGTTAAGGAAGTAGTCAAGGCGATTAGTCCGGAGTGTGGGGACTGTACATGACGATTAGATAAGGGTATGGGCAATCCTAAAATGCTATGGGAAGGGAGGGAAACAGGTCCGTGACGAAGGAAGGTGTTAAGGAAGTAGTCAAGGCGAGCAGTCCGGAGTGTGGGGACTGTTTATTACGATAAGATCAGGGTATCTGCAATCCTAAAATGCTATGGGAAGGGAGGGAAACAGGTCCGCGACGTAGGAAGTGGTGAAGGAAGTAGTCAAGGCGAGTAGCCCGGAGTGTGGGAACTGTTTATGACGATTAGATTAAGGTATCTGCAATCCTAAAATGCTATGGGAAGGAAGGAAAACAGGTCCACGACGTAGGAAGGTGTTAAGGAAGTAGTCAAGGCGAGCTGTTCAGAGTGTGGGAACTGTTTATGACGATTAGATAAAGGTATGGGCAATCCTAAAATGCTATGGGAAGGGAGGGAAACAGGTCCGTGACGTAGGAAGTGGTGAAGGAAGTAGTCAAGGCGAGCTGTCCGGAGTGTGGGAACTGTTTATGACGATTAGATTAAGGTTTCTACAATCCTAAAATGCTATGGGAAGGGAGGAAAACAGGTCCGCGACGTAGGAAGTGGTGAAGGAAGTAGTCAAGGCGAGTAGTCCGGAGCGTGGGAACTGTTTATGACGATTAGATAAGGGTATGGGCAATCCTAAAATGCTATGGAAGGGAGGGAAACAGGTCCGTGACGAAGGAAGTGGTGAAGGAAGTAGTCAAGGTGAGCTGTCTGGAGCGTGGGAACTGTTTATGATGATTGGATTAAGGTATTTGCAATCCAAAAATGCTATGGAAAGGGAGGAAAACAGGTCCGCGACGTAGGAAGTGGTGAAGGAAGTAGTCAAGGCGAGTAGCCGGAGTTTTGGAACTGTTTATGATGATTAGATTAAAGTATTTGCAATCCAAAAATGCTATAGAAAGGGAGGAAAACAGGTCCGCGACGTAGGAATTGGCGAAGGAAGTAGTCAAGGCGAGCTGTCCGTAGTGTGGGAACTGTTTATGACGTTTAGATTAAGGTATCTGCAATTCTGAAATGCTATGGGAAGGGAGGGAAACAGGTCAATGACGTAGGAAATGGTGTAGGACGTAGTAAAGACGAGCTGTCCGGAGTGTGGGAACTGTTAATAACGATTAGATTAAGGTATCTACAATCCTAAAGTGCTATGGAAATGGAGGGAAACAGGTCCATGACGTAGGAAATGGTGTATGACGTAGTAAAGGCGAGCCGTGTGGAGTTTGGGAATGGATCTATGTGTCTCCAATACAGTACTAAGACTGCTTTCAGAGTGGACTAATGATTTTCCCCGAGCAAAGCTCGGTCCCCAGGTACTACTAGAACTGGAACGGGAACGGGCTGAGGTAAACTTCAAATGACAACAAGAGAGATATCACACCATGACAGCTAATAGAATGCTCTCATTACGTCCGTATCGAAAAACTTGTGCTGAAATAAAAATTGAGCGCCACATCTAGTCGTCAACACATTTTTACTTCGTTATCTAAGAGACTATTGTGAACGTGTCACGATTAGTAAAACAAAGAATTGTTACGTTTCAAGATCTGAAATCTGGTTCAGAAATCAGGAGAAAGATTACCTAAAACGTAAACTAGAATAAAACACAAACGGAGTCAAAGCTTGAAAGTCACATAAGGACACAAAGAGAACTGTGAAATAATAAAAATGGACAAAAAACCTAAGAGGCCCATTTCCAGATTGAGGAACAATGTCACAACCTTTTTACCAAACGTAATGGAAAGTTTTTCTAATTGACCCTTAAATAGTATAAATTCACCAACACAAAAATAAACTATCAAAGATTGTGTGACTTCTTATTTTAAGGATTGTTGTACTTATCAGATGTTTTGTTACTCTTCTGATGTACCAACCACACCAGCTTAGGTTTGGGTAACCAAACATTTCGAATTAAAGTAAATTCTTAATGTAGACTTAACCTAACCTTGTGGATATAGCAGAAAAAACCTGGTGTGGTCAAGAAGAATACATATTTTTTAGAAGGAAAATGTAAATATTTGGAATTATGCGTTTCATGTGCAATATAAAAGCCACTCCTGATTTCCCCCTTTAGTTAATTACACCACCTTGATCCCTAGGGGTGGGAAAACTCGTGCAACAGACGTGATTAATATTTGACTCAATAATAACCTGTAGCTTAAGTGAGATATGTTTGTTTACCCTCCAATATCATCCTGTTGCTTTGTATGTGTTTTGTTATCTATATATTAATAGGCAAGCATGTTTCTTTAAAACCTTTTTTCTCAGCTCATGTGCA